TCCAGTTTTTATAGCTCCATCTTGCATCTGGAGCTGGCCAAGCTGTGGGAAGGCTTGCCAGCTCCATGTGTGACCTGGTGGCTTTCTCAGAAGTACACCAAGCTGAGAGAACCACGATGCTGGTCTTCTCCAAGATCCTTCGGGAATCTTGGTTTTTCCCACACGTGCTCCACACAGATGCTGATCTCATTTGTCACCGCGGAAGTCACCCTGAGACCTCAGGCTGTGTGGGGAGCTCTGCTCCTGCAGAACCTGCAGCTCTTGGGTGATCCGCCCCCCTGGTGGCAGGGAGCACCTGATGCCAGCTGTGATGGGGTTGAAAGGTCTGGGCTGGACTTTGGTGACCCCCTGCCATTGCCAGCTCCTAGCATGGACATCCTTTCCAGGTGCTTGTCCTTCAGCTCACCAACCTTGGCCTTCTGGGTGAGGAGAGCTCCCAGCCACGTCTGTTGCTCAGTGAGTTCTAGGTCATCTGGCTTTGCAGCTACTCTTGTAGGTGGGGGACCTGCCTTTGGCCCAGGGCGGGGTTGATGGTGAGCACTGGCAGCACTGCTTCTTCTGGGGCCCATGGGGACAGAGCTGATTCGAGCCCCAGCCTAGGCTTTGAAGGGTGCTGGGGCCCAGGCTAAGAAGCTCCCGCCACCATGCATGAGCAAGGCTGATGCAGCAACCAGATCCCAGGAGTCGCACTGTTTTATTTTGTTTTTTTGAGACAGGGTTTCATCATGTAACCCAGGCTGGCCAGCAGGATCCTCCTGCCTCGGCTTCCTGAGTGCTGAGATTATAAGTATGCACTACCACGCCCAGCCACACCACATCCTGCTGGTGTACCTACGGCTTATGGCTGCATAATAGTCCATGGTATGCCTCCTGCATATTATACCTCTCTCCTCTCTCATGGAGGCACCCGGGGCCCTGCAGTGCTTCACTGCCATGAGCTGCCTTGTGCATGGTCCCCTAGGACTTGTGTCACACTGTTCTGCTTCACTCCCTCTTCCCCCTTTGTAACCTGGGTAATTCCTGGTCTTTCTTCTACACTTTCATTTTTTTTATTTTTCTGTGGTACTGGGGTTTGAACTCAGGCCTCAGGCTTGCTAGGCAGGCGCACTATCACTTGAGTCACTCCGCAAGCCCTCTTCTACACTTTCTTCAAAGGTTTTATTCCAGGCCCACCGGCTATAACATGCATGCCGTTCTGCTCACCCATGCTTCCTGGGCACAGCCCTGTTAGATGTAATGTTTACTTTTGTTGCAATGTTTTGTTTGTCTGACTTCCCTGTGGATGTGAAATTCCAGAAAGGCAGGAACTATGTCTGTTCTGTCATATACTGTATCTCTAGTATATGACACAGGGTGTGGCACAAAGCATTGCTCAAAAATGCTTGTAGAATGAATACCAGATTCATTAGTTACTTACTAAGCACCAACTGCATGCCAGCCTTGTGCTCGATTTTTAATGTGACTCTTTCGAAGTTAACAGTTTCGTTTCTAAATACATAAAAACTGAACAAAAAGCTCGCTGACCCCCTGGCAAACCCAGTGCACCTTTTACATCGAAACTAGCACTGTGCACTTCCAAGAGGCCCCGTTAGAAGGGGATCATTGTGCCAGGGAAGGTGTCCTCTAATTTTCTGGAACTTTTCTTTGGGAAAAAAGAAAATTTCCATCATCCATAGCTGTTCTTTGCAGTCTTCCAGGGACTTGTTTGTTTCTTGAAGGCAGACTTGGGTTTCGGAAACAGCTGAAAGCTGCTTGGAAGCAAAACCAGAGAGTGAGGTGAGCGACGGAGCTGGAGTACCATGCTGCATCCAGACAAGGCGCGAGCATAAAGAAATGAGACCGGCTTGCTTGTGTGGTGCAGAAAATGGCTCAACAGCCATTCCAAAAGAGGGCTTGCAAACATGCCGAGGCCTTGGCAAGAAAAATGTTTCTCCACTCCAGCACACGCACACGCACGGGATATGTGTCTGGCACAATATGTAGACACATAAAATTAAAAAAAAAACCCTTGGAATTTAGGTTTTAAAAATCAATTGCACAAGTAATAGTGGAAGAGACCTGGCTTGGTAGCCTTAGCATCACCTTCTTGTGCGGTCAAGTTGCCCCCAAGTTCATGACGCATTAAGAGTGCGGTGTGGCTGCAAAGCAAACGTCTGTGTTCTCACACTGCCCTGGTGCTGGTCCTGGGCTTCTGTGGCAATATAACCCGTCATCCACCGCTGCTTAGGCTCTGCCTGCACCCTGGGTCAGTGATGGGCTTAACGCCACCAGCCCGTTAGAGCATGGGGCAGGGCAGAAGGGACATGACGTGTTTAGAAGAGCAAATAAGCCAGGAGGGCAGCAGTGATTAAAAATGGTGAAGTTGAGCTGTGTGAAAAGTGGTTTCATCTAATTTCACGTTGCTCTTTACAGAAGAGCCACACGGATGGGTAGAGATAATAGGAAGACAGCCTTGGGTTCTACCTACTAAAGACTGGTTCATGGAGAATTGCGTTGCTGTAATGTTCTGTGCGTGAATTCATACATGGAGGAGAGAAAGGGGACAATGATCGAAGGGTCAAACATTTCATAGTAGGGGCCAGGGATTTAGGCAGTGATGGAGCACCTGCCTAGCCCGTGCAAGACCCTGGGTTCCATCTTCAGCACCACAAAAAAATTAATAGTGGATACATACAGCTGTGTTAGTCAGCTTTACATAGCTATAGCAAAACATCTGAGATATTATAGAGAAAGGGTTGATTTTGGTTCACAGTTTGGAGATTCCAGTCCATCATCAATTGATCCCCTCCCCTCATTGTTTGGGGTCTGTTTTGGGGCAGCACATCGTGGTGGTGAGAGCAAGTGGTGAATTAAAACCACTCACTCCATGGCCCAGTGAGAAAAGGGAGCAAGGAGGGGGCTGCGGATCCACAGAACCGTTCGAGGACATGCCCCAAATGACCTAAAGACCTCCTGCAAGGTTCCTTAGGTTCCACCACCTCCCAGTAGGTCTACACTGCGGACCAAGCCTTTAACACATGAACCTTTGGGGGACATCCAACATCTACGCTATAGTAATTGTGGGGCAAATGCCATTTTTAACCTTTGTCTAGTGATGTATTGTTAGAATTTTTTTTATTACTTTCCTGTGTTTCTTTTGTAATAACCTTTTTCCTTTGAACAAAATTTAAAGCTTAGAGGTATCCAGCAACCAAACAGGCTACTTTGTGACCTAGTGAGACAGCACGTTCCTGACACCAGTACTGGGCAGATGGACCAGCATCTACTTCCTTTTAGAACCAATGATGCTACAAAATGTAAGCAATAAAGAGATAAAAACCTTGTCTGAGCTTCCACTTTACAAGAGGGAAACAGGTCTACAGAGAAGTGGATGAGAAGGGTGCGTCAAAACGGTCAATTCCCTTGCCTCAACAGGGTGCAGAAGCACACATTAAACTGTCCAGTCTTGCTTGCAGGAGCAAAGCTTCTTGGTCTTGGAGTTGCCAATGATTTTTGGAAGATTAAATAAAAAAACCTTCCTGAGGAATGACTTGGGACAGTTACAAGATGGTAACTGGGATTTATACCGTCTTTCTGGTCTGGTCCTACTTGCAAGTCAGACTCAGTCCAAGGAGCAAAGCTTTCCAGTGTTTTGTAAACCAAAGACCGAAGGTTCTTATAAACCGCATTCAGATACAGAAATAAGGATGGTTTCACACCAAAGACAACCGGCTTCTTTCCCTTTTGAGTCTCACCCACCACTAGGAATCATGCAAGTTGAATTAGGAAATACAACTCAACAAAATGAAGTTTAGAAAAGCTAAACCAAACATTCCCAATTTGTGTTTGTGGGCATTTCTGCAAAGGACACAAACGGTACTGGAAACCTGTACTCTGCAGGAGGCCAACAGAAGTGTTGGTGATGGCAGGAGGGGGTAATGGTAAGTTGTGAGGAATGACACCTTCTGCTTCCTGCATGGTGACCTCTTGCCATTGGACTGAAACTGGAGCTCCTGAGGGGGACGACCTCCTAGAATCAAAGGGGAAATTCCCACCCCTTCCTTGACCTTTGCTCACGACCCTTCCCTATACCTCACCCTCTGTCTCATACTTATCGGAGTTCTATTCCTTAAGACGGAGTCAACAGTATCTCTTTTGCCCTGCTAAGCATTCTATGTAAGTGATTTAAAAAAAGCTAATTGGTTATTCCTGGGGTTCCTGAGCAGCAGAAAGCCTGTCCAAGTTCAACTAAGTGCCACGATTACTTGAGAAGTATGTGTAAAAAGTAGGTTAAGTAATAATACTGGGCTACGATTCATGGAATGCCAGTGTTAGAGTCAGTACTGGTTCCAGACCTTCAGCTCCATGAGCGCAGAGATCAAGTCAGCTCTGTTCACCCCTCTCTCCAGTATCGGGAACAGCACCTGGAATGCAGCGGGTACACACAACCTAGCTGTTGAATAAATGTACAGAAGCCCACTGAGGCCGTGAGAGTTGCTTCTTGTAAATCACGGGTTTGTCGGTGACAACTTTTGCAACCTAACCCAGGGCAACTGCCCTGTGGCAGCCCCTGGAAAGAGAGGTGACAGACAGCAAGCTTGAGACAGCAGCAAAGAAGCCGGGGTATTTCTTTCTTTCCACTCTCTGGGCCCACCTTCCTTGGTGGGGGGATGGGAGACTATTGACCATGCAACTTGTACATGATCTACACAGAGGATTTTCCATTTGGGCAAAGCAGTTTTAGCAAAGTGAAATTTGTAGAGACCAGACTGTGGAACTCTTTGGAGATGCCTTTGGTCTCAAAGGCAAGACATTCCTACCTTGGGTTTCTAAGGGCAGACTGTGGATTGGGTGTGTGTTGGGAAGGAGTGGCTTTGACTGGGGCTTGGGGCCAGGATGGATACTCACCCAAAATTGATAAGCAGGTTTCAAGGACCCTTTTGGGTTCTGATGAGATTATACTGAATAGAAAGTCAGGTGACAGGGAGGAGAAGTATATGACCCTTTACAAAAAGACTGCATTTTTATTTGAACGTTTATTATTTTTTTTTCCAAAGAAATCCATGCAGAGAGAGAAAGGAAGAGAGAGAAACATGGTAACCATGTTCTAGCAGCCAAACATAAGAAAATAATTTGGCACAACTTGATAGGTTTTTTTTTTTCTTTGCAAAAGGACGATCTATACTACCACTAAAACTGACCTTCCTCATAAAGCTACCATTTGATTTTCGAAAGCATCACACATGGTTAGTCTTCTACTTAAATGGCTGGAGGAAGTATTTAAGATAAAAAAATAGAAAAAAATAAGAAGGTGGTTCCCTTTACAGAGGAGGACCACGGGGTGCTGCAGGCAGCACGCGTGCTGGGCACTGGGAAGTCAGTGCGCCAGGAAGAAGAAGCAGGTCACATAGATGACCATGCTGGTCAGGAGCTCCAGCGCGGAGTGCGCGTTCCCGAGGCTGTGAGAGGCGGTGATCTCGTTCTCCTTCGGGTTCACGTGCTGCTTGCTCCCAGGAGCATCGTCCACATCCAGGTCATAAGCCAGTTCTGCCAAAAAAGAAGAAGGGTCTGAAATGCAGAATTACGCAACAGCATCAGGCCTATACTGTTCCTGGCTCAAGCACCTGTCTGGCCTGCCGGGAAGCTCTGGCTGTCTTTCCTTTCTTGGGAAGGAAGGGCGCCAGGCAGATGGGAAGGAGCAAGGTGTATGTTGGGGGAGGGGAGCACAGTGGATGGAGATGGCCAGAAGTGTTCAGCAAGGGGCAGTGAGCGGGACCCACCCACACTCAGGGTGCATGTTGGCCCTTCCTTGTCACCATCTCCTCCCAGCAAAGCTGTGCTTGAATTGAGCTCACTGGTACCAAAGGTGCCACGTGAGTGCCCTTGGGTGTCGGAGGAGGTCGTGCTGTGGGGCCCTCACGCACTGAACCTCATAGGGATTTCCTTGTCCTGGGCAATTTGCTTTAATTAGGGTAGAAGATGGTAGTTTGCTGTTTAAAGTTGTTTTATTTTCCCCAAATAGTCCCGCTTTCATTTATAAAATCTTTTCATCTCCCCTGGCGGGAAAATTCACAAGAAAAACCAACTTGATCTCAAGTACAGATTTAAATTGATACTGAGTGGATTGAGACCAAGAACAGACTAACGGAGAAGGGTCTTTGTCTTTCATTCTTCGATTGCCTACCATTTAGAAGATTTGGTCATGATTCTGAAAAGAAATTGCATGTCCTTGGCTTGGTCTAAATCAAAAGTCTCCCGGAAGGTAAATCTAAGCAGACAGTGGTTTCTCAGGAAGTTCAAGGTCGCTGGCCCAGGCCCATGGCTTAGTTTCTTTCAGATTTGCTTCTCCAGATTTACAGACAGAATCTACTCCCTTGGCTTGTCTAGACTCTGTTGCCAATGTTTCTATTTCAATATCTTGTGAAGGTGACATGATGCGAGCAACCTCACTCGCCAGCCAACTGTCCTGTGGCCAGGGAGCCGGAAAGATCCCTCTGGGACACTGAGCTGCAAAACAAGAGGCCCAGAGGAAATAACTGGGATTCTACCTAAGGAAGGAAGGAAGAGGAAGGAAGAGCTCCTCTTACAGGGCACGAAATACTCAGGAAGTCACTGGGAGCAAGTGTGGCGACTCAGCTGGTCCAGGATGCGTGCAGAGCAGTTCCCGGCACCAGGACTGCTCTTATGGCTGGCATGGGTTAGAATAGGCAGCAAAGTCAAGGTATCAAATCCAGGTGTCCAATTTCTCAAGAGTACGTTCTTACTTCCAAAGGGGCAATGTATAATGCCACCAGCAATGATGAGAGAGCCAATTTCACTGTGCCTCAATTGAAAAAAAGCTATTTGAGCTCATAAGATGATATTTCAAGGTTTCTTGAATTTGCATGTATTTGACTGCTAGTACAGATCAGTTTTTTGTTTTTGTTTACTAAATTTCTCAATGCATATCAGTCCACATCCCATGGCTTTTTATCAAATGAGTACTGACATTTTTCCTACTAATTTGAATAGTATATATTATATTGAATGATCTGCTTACAATAATAGAAATATTTTTTCTATTTTACTATTAATTATAATCTTTGTCATTGCTGTACAAAGAAAGGATATCCTAGCTTATAATATACATGAATCTGATTATATTTTATGAAAGTTTTCCCCCTGAGTAGTGATAATAATTCAAGAGTTCCAGGGAACTTTCTTACCCAGGGAAAAGCAATTTAGCAGACTGTTAGCTAGGTGTCCCCTCCCCATACACACAAACAAACAAAATAAAAAGAGAAAAAGAACAAAGAACAATGCTCAACTTGAAAATCAGACCTCTTTCTCTGAAAGGTGAAGCATGCAGGGCCCAGAAGGCAGCGGGGTCAGCTGTCAGTCAGCAAGGATAGCACAGGCTTAGGCCACGGTCGGGTTTCAGCAAAGCAGACAGCACATATGGCTGGATCTGTTGAAAGCACGGCCTTGAGTTGCACGGTAGCTTCTCCACTTAAGTGGAGAGGAGTATTTTTAGGGTTGACCTGAATGAGAGTGCTCTCAGCGCTGCTTTCAGATGCTTTTTCTGGATGATGCCCCTTGCCCACCATCAAGATGAAACAACATCTATTAATGCTACCACTCAGCCCTACTCTATTCCTTTGGCTCTTAAAATAATCCACTAGCACGGAACAGTCTTGCTTATTGGAGTGGTTATGGCAAATACAGGAGTTTTGTTAAGTCTAGTAGGTTGTAATCTTTTATTTTTTGCCCCCAAGGGCTTCTTTTGTTATTTCTCGCTCTTGGATCCCATGTTTGGAAATGCTAGCAATGACCTGTAATTATTGATTCCTCATTGTGTGCCTAGGCGTTGTGTAATGCTACTTAACTATACTATCTCACTTAATCGAACCTCCTCCATCACATTATGAAGTACGTATTAGGATTCCCATTTCACTGGGGAGGAAGCTGAGGCTCAGATTAGTTCCTTTGTCCATAGTTATGTAGGTGGCATGTGGTAGGCGTGCTATTCGAATCCGGGTCTGATTCTGAACCTCATATGAATCTATAGCACTTCTTGGAAAATTCTATGGGCCAAGTAGGCTGCAGTAATAGATTCTTATTTGAGAAAAACTCTATTAGTGAAATTAATACTGCCAAAGAGAAGTTCCAAAAACGGTGAGAAAAGTGTTTCCACATACAGTTGACTCCATACTTGATTGAGTAGCCTTGTTAAAGCATCGTGAAACAGTGCAAAGAATGCTGGGCTTGGGGACCCCAAATGATAATTCCATCATCACTTCTATTTCCCTGAAGAAATCAGTAATGATGCCTAAGACCATTAGACTCCAGACACAAATCTAGGTTACCTCTCCTCCTACCAAAGGGTGTCAGGAGTACTCAGAACCGACTTCTCTGTGCTTCCTAAGCTGTGGCCCTCAACTCAAGGGCAGCTAAAGTTTTGTCACCCAACTCCAAAGTCCCACTCCTGTGGTATATTTTGTCAGGAATCCCAGCAAAGCCTGGACCTGGGCCACCGTCATGCGGATCAGAGGTGAAGTGACAGCATTGTACACAATGTACACAAAGAAGCATTGTCAGAGATAGAGCAAAGAGGATTTTGATCAAGATGGATATGGACCTTCCTGGACAGAAGAAACATAATCTGACTTAATTCAACAGCAGTGCTAGCCTATGATGTCTCGAGCACTGAGCTAGAAGGCTGGAGAAAGATCTAGCGTCTGCTTCAAGGAATCCCACACTCTGGCAGGGACAACAGGCCAACAGATAAATCAACGAGGCACTTGGCAGAAAATAGGAAGGATTCAAATACAGGCACAAGTAAAATGCTATGGCAGTAGAAAGGAGAGAGAGAAAAATCCCCAATTGAAGTACCTGGGAAGAGTTCTCTGAACCATTTGTATATAATCTACACCATGAAGCTTGGGTTAGAACTATGGCAGGGCTATCTGAAATGTTTATTCCAGGCAGACTGTTCAGTTTGAGCAAAATCACAAGACTAGAGAATGAAGCCAGGGCAGGCTAAGTAGGAGGAAGTAGCCCCAGGGTGTGTGGGGAGGGACCATGGAGTACACACGCTGGGGTGTGTGTGCATGTGTATGGGGACAGGAGGTGGTGGTAATGAAAGGTAAGGCAGAAAGGACAAGTAAGAGCCAAGTTATGGTAGACTGGAAATGCTAAAACTCTTTTAAAGTCAGGGAACCATACAGTCTGATTTGTGCTTTTAGGAAGATCATTCTTAACAGTGTGGAGGACAGCACTAAATGGGAGAGACTTGTCAGACATCTTAGGAAAAAAAGAAGTCTGTGGGAACAGTATCTGGGGATTGGTTAGTGGCACACATACACACACAAAAAGAAACCTATAAAGACGCTAAATCTGTACCAAATTTTAAAAAATCTATTTGCTATGAAGTAGATGAATTATGGGAATCATGATAACCCATTTTCTTTTATTTTTCACTAGTCGCTTTCCAGAATGGATCGTTGTGTTAGGTGTATGTTGTAAAAATGCACAAAAACCTATTTCTATCTTGAAGTTGCTCATCGGTGAGAATCTTTTGGGCCTGTAAGATTTTCATGCTAAATCCAAAAATCTGTTCCTATTTGTAATCACTTTAACTATGCCCAGAGGGTAGACCCAACAATCTGCACTAATTACACACTCAGTCCTGACTCTCATTCGTGTTCTTTGCGTTGAAGATTACACGATCCACTTAAAATAACAGCCAGTCATTAGGGTGTGCATGCTGTTTGTGTTGGAAAGTTTTTCTGGATTGGGAAAGTGCGGAGAGGAGAGTCCCCCATCCATGGTTATTCCAAGTGCCCTAGGGAGTTGCTAAGGAGGTGGCACCGTGTGGGGGGGTGAGAGGGAGGATCTGGAACCCTAGATTCCAGGCCTGGCTCAGTCACAGGCTTACTAGTTCACCTTTGACCAGTCATTTTCTTCTTGGGGTTTCAGCTGTAAAATGAGGGTGCTGAACTGATGACCTGTGTTTCCTTCTAGTTTTATTTCATCTGGTTTCAAGGCTGGTGGCGGGAAGGCCCAGTTAGGAATAGTCTGTTGCAGCTGTAATCATCCCTCTACCTAACAGCAGTCAAGGTGGCTGTCCCCAAAAGGACTACCACATGCAAGTAGGGCCAGGCAGTTGCTTCTCTTGGGAGATTTCTCTGGTGATGGCCAGCAGCTGTCAAATTGTGGGTTTTCTGTCTTTTTTTTTTTGTGGTTCTGGGATTTGAACTCAGGACCTCACGTTTGCTAGACAGGTACTTTACCACTTTAGCCCTTCTGCCAGCCCTGAATTCTCTTTCTTCTTGAGCTATTCTAACCTTGAATGAGAGCCCCTGAGAAGAAAGAAATCAGTGCTGATTTTGTTTTTAAGTCCTGGTGTAATCACTAACACTGAAGCAGTACACACGAAGCTTTGGGGGAGAAGTTGCTAGACCTGGGGTATATCAAGCAGGCACGCACAGGCAGGTGAGGAGGATCTGGGAGCCAGTGAGACCAGCGTTGGGGCCCTTACAAAGCCACTGGTGTTTTAAGCATATAAG